TTTTAATTTTATAATTATCTTGAAACATTATCAAGTAGTTTAATCCATTTTTTTAATGATGAAATTGCTCTTTCAAGAATATCTTTCATTAAGTTATTATGTTTATGTCATAACATCACATCTTTTAATATTTTTAGTTGCATTATCATTTCATTCATGATACTTGGTAATTATTAATACCAAAAAAAAAAAATGATACTTGGGTAATTAGATCAAACTTATCATAATTTCTTCTTTTTTCTCTAGAAATGAGGGAATATGAATTAATTGAAGGAGTTATCAATAAAAAAATTAATTAAGAATAATAAATATAATATTTAAAAATAATAATAATAAATAAAACAAACGGGTCAACTTATCAATCCACGGGTTGACCCTAATCCAACACGTAACCCATACGAGTTAATAATACAAGTTATTTACGAGTTGTGGGTTGAAATATGTAGACCCTAACATATTTTTTACGAGTCAAATTAAGGTCAGGTTAATGGATCAAATAAATTTTCACCAGGTCTAGATGTGTTAAAATATGGGATAAGGCTTTTGCGTCAGATCTATGGATGTTTGCATCTGCCAATGGCCTCACAAACCAACTTTGTCAGACTTTTGATCTTTTGCGTCAACCCCAATGATGTTTGAGTAAGCCAATAGTTAACACAATTCATCCTACACCATAAAGCAGTTTCTACAAAATTGATCACTTGTTTCGCAGCATTAGCCAACCTTCGACCATATTTGCATCAACTATACTCACGTTAAGAACTCCCCAATATGACTTAGTGAATGGGTCATGTTACTTTAAAGAGTAGTACGTGAAGTTCACTCAATTTTAATTTTAATATTGACTTATAAATATATACTAACACTTAATTAATATTTTTCTTATTAAAAAAAAAATACTCACGTTAATATTTATTGGTCGATGTTGATATATTTTTCTTCTAAAAGTTTTTTTCATTAACAATGTAAACACAAAAAGCATATATTAACACCAATATTTTATAATTGACGCAAAAAATATGAACATTTTTATAATTACATTCTTGTAATCAACACCTAAAATACATTAACAATAGTTATATGAGTATAAATAAAGTTATTAACATAGAAAAATGTCTTTGTGCATCCTCAGATATTATTGCTGTTGGACAATCTCAACATCTTTAGTTATTGGACACTCTCAATTATGTTAATTTTGTAAAAGAACATCAATTCTAACTAACAATAGTCTCTATTCACTTATAACCTTAATATATTTAGAGAAATATTATCTCGAAGGAAGGTTAGTATCCTTATCATATATACTTAGCTCGAAGGGAGCTAGTTTAAACTCCCCAAACTCTTGACTTCTCTCTTTTCTTCCTTTTCATTAGCTCATATGATGTTCTTGGATGAGCTTCCGTTAAAAAAAAAGGTTGAAGGATTAGATACCAATAAAAATAATGACAGGTGCATGCTTTTAATCATCCATCTTTGATCCCAAAGCCTGTCGAAATTCGCACAATCCATCATATACTCCAATTCAAAATCAAACAAGTCCAGCTAAGATAAATTAAAGCCACCAAAGGCAACGGTTCCATTCCATTGTAAATCTTCTTTTAGCCAAGTTGTTGCCCCGCTTTCACCAATTGCTTCTCCAATCAAGGTCAGTATCTGATTTTATTAGATCAGTCCTTAGCTACAGATTGTTACTAGATCATTTTGGATTTCACTTTTTTTTTTTTTTTTGAGTCTTGACCATAAGACTTTCTTAGATTTCGATCAAGTTGTCAAAAAAAACCGCAGGCATCTCTATGAGAAGAAGTCACGCGACCAAAAAGAAACTAAAGGAAAAAAATATAAGATTGGGAGGATGAGTTAGAGAGGAAATAAAGAGACTCCCCTAAAGGAAAAGAGATTTCAAAGGAAGAAACTCAGAATACAACTTTAACCTTAAACCCTAGAGAGTGAGCCGCCTAACTCTTAAGGAGAAAGCCACCCCGGAGTTAATTCAAGAAATTAATATTAGATGAGAACAATTAACTAACATGTTAAAAGAACAAAGACCCAAAATTGCAGCTTGACAAGCCAGAAATAGAAGCTATCAAACTTGGGATTGAAACAAAAGACCCCACGACGAAAGAAAAATCTTGGTTGAGTTGCCCATTTCAATCTACCAGAAATATCAATTTAAAATGCATTCTCCCCTTTTTGTACTTGCAACTGCTTCCCAATACATACTTAAATGATTAGAAGTAAAATATGGCTAATCCTCCTCGGGATTTTGGGTGTGAAAATCTGCAATTTAGAAGTTACATAAGCAGATGGGGCATTAATTGGGATAATCGAGATCTCATACATCTTAAATGATAGAAATGTACAGATCACAGTGAAGGCAGACATTTTTTGCGTTTGATATTTCTTCTCACCTAAATTTGCATTTATTTTTGCACAAAAGTAGTTAAAATGTGCAAATGGTTGTTGTGCAATTCCAAATGCAATGCTAACAGTCTGATATAACAGGTATTTTAACACAACAGCCAGCTTATTTGTCCCTCAAACTCTTAAAGAACATCTGAAACTTCTAGTGTCCACAGAAATAGGGGCAGCAAAGATCATTTGAGGTTTCACATACAAAATACAGACTCAGAGAAGGAATTAATTCAAGAAGATTATGTTTTCTACTCTTCTATGTTTTCCTTACCTATAATCAACTTCAAGCAGAATTCAGTGTTTATACAACTCTCAGCACATTTTCTCCACTTTATGTGTTTCTCCAGCATCGACTTCTTATTCCAACCGACATATTATGGCTTATGAAATATACTAAGAAAGTTTTTCTTGTTCATATGTTATTTGAATATTGACAGACTCACATCAGGGGAGGTGATTGTCAACCATTTGCATCACAATTTTGCAATTTGTTGCGCAAAAGTTGGATCAATGCAAACCACAACCTGCAGAATTGTATATGGGTGAGTACCCCTTGTACTCTTTTTAATATAAATTTTTGATTCATGAAAAGAAAAAAAAAAACAACCTGCAGAATTGAATTTCCACTTTGTTTTAGCATAAACATGGATTGAGCCAATTGTCCAGAGCAATCATAATAAAAGAAGTAAAAGGATAAATAAGCATGTGATAATTTCTTAGAAACCTTGTACATACCTTGCCAGCACTTTTACCCGAATGGAGGTACTCAACAGCATCTGCAATGGCATTGAGGCCCAAGAATCTTTTTGGGTCTATTTTGACCTGTCAGAATTTAACCACAGTATGTGAGATACTTCAATAACTGCAAATGTGAAGCAGGCTTCTCTAGGGAAAGTGGAGCCAAATCAAGTTTTAAGGCCGTGTTTCAAATTTGTTCTGAGATACCTCAAAAGAAACAAATATGCACCATGTAAATTCAATGTCTAAAGTGCATCTTTTTTTTTTTCTTTTTTTTTTTAACTGTTTTCCAACACATAATTTTTGGATTTGGGGCAAAGAGGATTCGAACATTGGCTGGGTAGTTGGAACACCCATTGGGTGACCATCCACCCTACGTGCCAGGTTCATCAAAAGTGCATCTTAGGAGAACTGTTAATAAAGGCATCAAATTACCAAAAACAAATGTGGATTAATTTGTCAATTTGTAAACAGAATATAAATCAATGCACATCAGAAATGCAGGTGGGCTTTAGATTGAACCCGAGCAAATATATGCGCTTTGGAATTGAAAATTCTTGATACAGACCAGCCTTAAAAAG